TGGGGATGGATTCAGATCAGACACAAAATCCCTGCCAGCTCCAGTGTGGACAGGGTGAGTGACACAAGAGCCTGTCTCTGTGTACTAGGAAAATGCTGTCACTCCCTGCCCCGACAGTGACATTCCTGCTCACAGGGAGCAGCACAGCCCACTGTGGGGACACAGCACCCAATGCTCCCATTCATGGTTGCTGGGGACGCCAGCAGCAGTGCCAGACTGTGTGAGATCTCTGCGGTCCATATGGCTGCTGCCACTCACAAGGCCACCTGCTGTCACCCGGGGGCGGCAGTGGGGAGGCTCTGGGTGGCGGTGGCCGGGCGGCCCTGTTTCCACTTTGCAGGGAGCTGTTATACAAAGGCAGCGGTGATATTATTCATTAACAGTAATCTGCCATTAGAACATTGACAAATGGCCCCTCGGTGCCTGAGCATCAGTTCTGGTACAGCCCATAAAGCATGGGGACAGTTTAAATATGGACCTGCTCAGCTCGGGCCGGGGGTGATCCGTCTTCCCGGCCATAACACAGGTGCGGTGGGGTTGCCTCCAAATGAGCACGTTTGGGGGGGCCCTGCAATCCCTGACCACCCACAGCCCACCGGGGCAGCTGCTGGGATGGAAAAGCTCCTTCCTTGCACCGGGAGCATCTCGGCCCAGTGCACAGCAGTTGCAGCAGCTCTCAGCCCCCTGAGCCCCCGTGGTGGAGGTGTGTGTGTGATTTGATCATGTGGGGAGGTGGGAGAGGTGGGACAAATGCTGGCACATATAGGGATGCAGCCCTTGCCCTTCTCCCCAGTGCCTGGGCTGGGTATGGAGGTAATGCTCTCCTGGAGTGAGCCCGATCCAGCAGCACAGACTCCTGCTGATGGAATCTTTGAGCTCATGTTGGGTTCACAGCAGTGCCACCGTGCAGTGGCTGGTGGGAGGGCACACGCCAGGCAGTCAGCCCAGTGCCATGAGCTGGGGGCTTTCTGCTTCCATCTCAGCAGAGGAGTGCAATGGGAATGTTTATATCCCTCCAAGGACAAGGCGACCAGTGATGCTGAATGGCCACAAACTCCAGCCTAAACTAGGAGAGCGTCCTGCTGCCCAGTGTGTGTGCACGTGTTGCTGTCTTTGGCTGTCACTGCAGTGAGAGCTTGGCAGGACATGGAGAGGGCTGAATCGAGGGTGTGGAGGCAGTGTGGTGTCACAGTGAGTAATGCTGAAACACATGGAGCAGGAGGGTTAAAACCTGGTGGGCTAAGCCAGCCAGGGTGAGTGGAGGCAGGGGTGTCAGGTTACCCCACACTGCACTGGCAACTGGACCAAAGGAGGGTCTCAGAGGTAGCCAGCCCCAGAACCCATCACCTCAGGGCAAGGTCAATCCCAGCCATCCTGGGCCACTGCACGGGGACATGGGGCAATGCTCGGAAGCAGCACAGCAAGGTGAGGGGCAGGGAGGCAGGGCAGAGTCACTGCTCTGTTTGCATGAGGCAGGATAACCCCAGGCTGACCCCTTTCACACACACCACACAACACCCCTAAATCAATTGCATCTTATTATTACAATATCAATATACAATATTCCTACAATAACACCATTGATTTTCTACTCAGAGGCTGCACCTAAGTCTGTTTTAAAGAGGAGGGAGTTAATAGTGCCCTCATTAAAAATCTATAGATTAGCCCCCACCCCCAAAAAAAGAAAAAGCAGTTTATATTCATTAGGGCTATTGAATATAAAGTAATATGTTTGTGTAGGACATTGGAGTAATGTGATAATCCGTCCGCATATCAGGGAGAAATCCACTTAGCAACCCTGTCAGCTTGACAAGAAAAATGTGCCCATAAAGTCGGGAATACATTGAGGGAGTGAGTGGGAGGAGGGCGGGGGCGCGCCTGCGTGTGTGTGCCTGTGCAGAGCCGTGCTGGCCATCAGCGTGGGACCACCTTCACCCCATCCCCCTGCTCAGCCTTGGGACACAGGCGGGCACTCCTCAGGCCCCTGGAGGAGTCTGGGACTGGAACACGCCAGATGTTCTGGGATGGGGATCAAGTTGGGGGGCTCCACAACCTGCCAGCCTCCCTGGCCCCAGGTTGGGTCACCAGATGGGACAGGTTGGTGGTACTAGGGGGGGTGCTGGGGCAGCACCGCCACAGCCACGTGCCCCCCAGGGAGAGCTGGGCTGGGTGGGGGCTACAGGGTGGGCAGGGCTACCTGTGCCCTCCTGCCAGCTTCGGACTCTGCTTGTCCCCCACCCCATGGTCACCTTTGCAATGGATTAAGCCCTGAAAAGCAGCAGAGCAATCCTGGTCGCGCTCTCTTAGGCTGTCAATTGCCATTTTTGTAATAGAAATTCCTTTCACAAGGTAACGACGGCCAGATTTAGAGGATTTCATATTGTTAATAATTCCCCAAACAGCCATCTGACTGTGTTGTTTTAAAAGCCGCTTAGTTTTTTGCTTTGGAGTTTATGAAAATCTCCCACTCTAATATCCCGAGAGCCAGCCTATAATTGTGTTATTAAATCAATTGGAGCGGATTACATTGTAAAATCAATAGATGGCTGTAATTGCATATTAGAAAGTTGTTCTGCTGTTGTTGATTTTTTTTTTACATGGATAATTATAATAAGCGTGTTTACCTTAGTGCTGATTTGGAATGAGTCTCACTAAATGACATATGATGAGCTTGGCACACTCGCTGCCAGGGGCCGTGGCATCGTTTGGGACAACAAGGACAGCACTGGCGGCATGGGCATGTGGGTGGCATTAACCCAACAGGGTCCCACCAGGGTGGCAGCTCACAGTTCAGGGTGTGTCCCAGCGCTGGCGCCTGGCAACAGAGCACACTGGGGTTTTGGGGAGGCAGATGATGAGGTGCAGGAAGCAGAGAGTGGTTCCAAACAGTGTCCCCAGGGACCAGCTTCCAAATCCCAGAAGTGCCATGGGGTCTTGCTGCCGCTGCCTAGTCTCTGTGCAGTTCTCCCTCAGCAATATGGAGCAATAGTCAAGTCCCAGTGCCCATTCCAGTTCGGGGCAGTGCTGCAGGCTGTGAGGTTGGCAGTGGGACACCTGAGGCTATGTTTTCACATCCATACTGCTCACTTGCCACCCACCTGCCACAGCTCCAGGATTTGCTTTGCTGTTACTTTTTGCGGGGTATCAGGCCAGGGCTGGCTGGCCAGGGGTACTTTGGCCACAGACAGTTGCGCTCCTCTTACCTCTGTTTCCCCAGCTTTCAAGCCACTATTACCCTGTTAGATCCCACTGGGGATCCAAAGGCTGAGGGCTTTCCAAGGGGCTCAGGTGTCTGGGGGATGAGATAGAGCAGACGGTCCTAAGGACAGTGAGAGGATCGCTTGAGTGGGAACAAGTGATAACAGCAGGAAGTGGCATTCTGGCTTGGCTGGGCAGGACACCTGTCACCTCCAGGGGCCTTATGCAGCCACCAGTGTCACCTTGGGCAGCAGAAAGGATGATGGCACAGAGAGATGGGCTCACCTCTGTCCCCATGCCAGCCAGTGGGCTAGGGACCCCCTCCTTTGTTGAGTTGTCCTCATGCCCAGCTGCTGTCCCCTGTCTGGCACACAAGTGACAGGAAGGGGTGCCATGGGAGGGTCTCAGGGGACACTCCAGAGGCACGTGGCACTGATGGAGATGTTACTTGTTTCACTGCCAACCATCAGCCAGGAGGGTCCCTGGCAGCTCATGGCAGCCCCTTGGGGAGCTGTGCATGGGGAAAGTCCTGAACCTCCAACAGGCTCTTGTGGACAGGCGATGTCTTTGCCAGTGGGTCACCGGGCACAGCAGGGCTGGGCAGTGCTGTGGTCTGGCAGGGAGCATCCAGGAGGCCGGGCAGCCCCATCCCTGCAGGCAGATGCCTGGCAGCAGGACAGCACTGCCCGGCTGCGGGAGGCCCTCAATCCGGCACGCAGCACTGTCAGCAGGCAGCCTGCTGTCTCCTAGACAGTGAAATATGGCCACAATTAGCCCGGATACAGTTCAATTATGATAAACAGCGTTTGCACCCTTTAAGCTGTGATTAAAAGGCCTCCTCCCGTTGATAGAGAGACCTAATTTCACATTATTATCGCTGTAGCTTGATTATAAAGCACTCCCTGGATTTACAGTTGGGAGATGGATGTGGAGGCTTCTTTATCATTTACACATCAGTAATGATGCAGCCTTCCCTCCACCACAACATCCATCCAGCAGCGGCAGGGAGAGGGGGGCCTTGCCTGCACCCCCCTTCCGGGGCACCCTCTCCCCGTGTCAGCCAGGCCCCGCTGCCACACGCAAGTGGGCAAAGTCACCCTTACGGTAACAGCTTGATAAATGGGCGGGCGGTAATGAAATGGAGACATCAAGGCGTGGGGCGAGGAAGAAAGAGTGGTAATCGGAACGAGTGGAGCTGTCCCGAAACGGAGGGGAGCGGGAAGAAGGATCGCCTCTGCGCCGTGTGCTGTCAAGGGAGAAATTACACATTTACTCTTGCTTTTTCTTAAGGAGACGGCCCTCATAGATCAAAACATGGATTTACAAGCCAATTTTCAACATGAAATATAGACACTAGGAATCAATTTAAGCCCAGCTTCTATTTTAGCAAACGGTGCCTGAGTTTAGTCCCAGGTAAATAACACCAGAGCCTTCTCCTTCCCATCTTGCTGCTCTGCCATGGCCCAGCACCAGGAGTGGCTCTGGCTTGCCATCCTAGCCACTTGTCAAATTCTGGTTGGTGGGCATAGAGAGGCACTGTGGGCTGGCTCTGGTGGGGACATGGTGACCCAACCTTCAGGTCTAGGGCATGGATCTATCTCAGGGCAGCACTGGGTCATACTGGGATGCAGGTGGCCAGTGCTGGGACTGGGAATTCTGCAATCACACCACATCACTGCAAGGTCCTTGGGACAGAGTACCTGGACTGGTGAGGACACAGGCCCAACATGGGATTCAGAACTTGCTCCAACAACTCCTGTTTGGATCATGCCTCTAACCCAGTATCTCTGCTTTCTCCTTAGATGATTGCAAGAACATTGCCAACATCATGAAGACACTGGCCCATAGAGGCTTCATCTTCAAGCAGACCTCCAAACCTTTTTGATCCCCGAGGCAAGCCAGGCAAGGGCTGCATGTGCCCGGTGCCGGCGAGGCGGGGAGGACGGGCTCCAGCATTAAAAAAAATCCGGCAACCGAGGCCAGAGGAACCGACACAAAAAAAATCTCAATTTCAGCTGTTAACTCCAGTAGAGGTTGTATATATGGGAAGGCAAATCTGTGTAGACCTGATGTGACTCCCTCTCTGGGCTGCTCCGGACATTATGCCATGCTAGCGGACAGCCGCGTAGGGCGCTTGCACCACATTTTAGACTTGTAGTTCGTTCTTTTTCTTTGGCTCCTGATTTCCGTCCCTCCCTCCATATCCCACCCCGTCCTCCCTCTCCCACCCCGTAGCCAGAGCATCCCCCATCTCCACCTTGGCATGGGCCATACCCACCTTCCCTTCTTCTTTCTCTTCTCTGGTTTTATGTTTTCAGGCCTCATCGCTGCTGCAGCGATGCCGGTGTGTGCCTGCACTCGGGCAGCACTCGTGGAGGCTCAGCGTGTCGAGACGGCCCCTCGCCCACCCCGCCAGCTCCCCCCGCCTCTCCCCTGAGCGCCTTTTCCCCTTTTTCAGTCAACACTAACCCCTCTCTGACTCCTGTATGTGACAAACGCGATCCGTCTCTTTATGTTCAAGGTGAAGTGCCTGTATTCTCCGCTGCAGAGCCCCTGGCAGCCCCACCGTGGGCTGCAGGGCCCCGGAGGGCTCCCTTCAGTGAGGCAGGGGCCCAGCGGACAGGCGGGCGGCAGGAGGGAGGTGACAGTGTCCGCATGGAGCCCCGTCCCGTCCCCGTTCCGTCTGCTCGTGCCTCTTGCGGGGCTGGGTGGGACGCCCAGCCCTGCCTCGTCCCCGCCGATCAATTCCAGCTCCATGGGGGACAGGCCCGCCACAGCACCGTGTCCGTGTCCAGTGGTGGACGTGCCAGCGCGCGCTGGCCCCCGGCCCACAGGTACCTGAGCAGGGGAGCTGCAAATTGCCCCAGGCCCCTGAGCGTGCTCCCCGCAACCTCCCTCGGTTCCCGAGCTGAGGCTCAGCCCCCCCGCCGTGCTGTGCCCCTCACAGGTCCCCGCGGACGCTCAGCAGCAGCTGGCTTGTTGCCTGAGAGAGTTGCCGAGCACATCCCCTCCAGCTGGGTGGGCTCCCGGCTGGCCAGGGCGGTTAGGGGGAGCCGTGGGGCGGGCTGAGGGCGCACATCCTCTCAGTGTCACCCAGCCCCAGGGCCCTGCTGAATGGAGCCCTCGTCCGGGCACTGACCTGCAGGGAGGCTGCAGCCCCAGGCCCGTGCGTGCATGGCCTGGAGCGAAGCCGGTGACGGCAGCCAGAAGGGCAATACAGGCACTGAACTTGGCGGTACATGACTGCATGGTGTGTGGTGTTCCAGTTAAACCAACCGATAATGCAACCCCAGCATTTTCATTGTCTAGTTATTCCAATCCTTGCTGTAAATGTGCCACATGAATAAAGTTTGGGGGTAAAGGAGCCCGGGCTGTGCCCATGCATTTGCAAGTTTGTATGGGGGGGGCAGAGGGCAGGGAAGTGCACCTGGCTATGTGGGAGTAGGGTGCTCCTTGGGGTATGGCACATCCATGTTCCCCATAAAAGGCAAGGGTTTTGGCTGTGAAAGGGCAGTCAGGATTCCCTGCTGCTGGGAGCACTGCCCCACTCTCCAGCATGGGCACTGTGGGTGGGCACCAGCCCCACCACCACCTCCGGTTTGCCTGTGCCCCAAGGCAGCTCTGCCCTGAGGGCCCCATCAGCCCATCACTGCTGGGCCTTATGCATGGGTGCACCCCATGCAGTTTTCTCCCCAGTGCAGGGTGACAAACACCACTACATCCCACTGGCACCTGTCACCCCAGCCTGTAGCCTGGCACACTGTACCCACACAGCTGCCACTGCATTTGGAGCATCTTGGCTACAGAATAGAGCCAGCATGGCTTTGCTGGGCCTTGGGGCACCTGCTCTGCCCTGGCCAGCTGAGCCAGCAACACTGACTGCAACACTGTGGGATGCAGAAGCCATACCCAGCTGTGCAGAAAACACCACTGCAGCCAGGTGGCCAGGGAACCTGCCCTGTTCCAGAGTGCCAATGGGTGACAGGGATGCAAGTATCCAGCCAGCACCGAGTGGGCAGCTCCCAGAGGGCAGGGGCAGCCCACTTGCTCCATGCAAAGGTCACAGGGGTTTTACCAGTTCCCTCTGTGCAGCCCCTGATCAGCTTTATTGACCCTTTTTCGATGGGAGTCGTCTAATTAGTTTTTTATGAAAACTAAGAAGTTGGCCTTTGTCCTCTGCTCCTCCAGGCAAGAATGTGACTCAGAGGACATTGTCACAGTGGATCGATGATGGCCAGTTACTCTTAGAAGGCAGGTGCAGGGGACACAGGGTGGGCAGGTGGGCAGCAGCCCAGAGCAGGGCATGCAGCCAGGGCCACCAGTGCCCACAGTGGGCAGCACATAAACACAGGCTCCCATTGTGATGCTTCAGCCCCTCCAAGGCCCTGCAAAACATGAGAGCAGGGACCAGGGGCCCCTCCCACCACAGACTGAAGCCTTGGGTGGGCAGCAAGAGGAACAACTCTACTGACAGTGAATGCTGGGGACAACACAAGTGTTTCCAGCAGGGGCAGCCCCTCACTCAGGCAAGGCAGCACTTGCAGGTGTCAGATACGCAGGCGTTGCTGCAAGAGAACAGCTAGCTACACAAGGGCTGGGCATATGGGATGCTGGAAGGAGCTCTCCAGCCTGGTATGGGTTACACAGGAGCAGCCTGACTCAGGACATGGTAGCCTCAAAGGGAGCAGGGGCTGCAGCAACTCCAGCTGTCACCTGGTGACTGAGGCAAATGGGCTTAGGGGCAGCCACTAGCAGCCAGCAGCTCCCAATAGGGTCAGTGGCGCCTAGGCTGCCTGGGATGGGGGTGAGACAGCTTCATGCACCAGGGCTAGTGGGCACAGGGCAGCCATGGGTGGCCTGGGGCAGAGCCTTGCACATCCCTGGGGCAGCTCTCCAGCACCTGCTACAAGTGCTTGGAGGCTGCACTGCTCTGCAGGTCAGATGGTGTACAGCACTGGGCAGGGGATAGCTCCCACTTTTCTCTGGAGCACTGCAGTGTTTGCCCCAGCAAGGCCCCTGTCCAGTCCCATGGCTGCAGGCAGCCAGCAGCCCCTAGGGGGTCCAGGACAACCAGCACTGCCCCTGCACCTCCTCATCCTCACCCTAAACAGAGTGCTCATGGTTTCTTCCCCTTCTTGATGGAAAAAGAGCTGGAGGCCAACTCCCTTTACTTTCCTCCAAAAGGGAGACAGGAAAGAAGAAAAACCAGGAACAGCAGGTGGGAACACTTGGGTTGTGGCAAACACACCCACCTGTCCCAGAGCTAGCCCCAGGGAAGCACTCTAGGCAGTGCCAAATGGACTACACTGCCTGGCTGAAGGCAGAGCCAGGTCTCTGCATGACAGGAGGGACAGAGCTAATCCAACAGTGACAAGGGGGAGGGACAGCACCCTCACAAGGGGATGTTACCTCCCTGGCAAGAACAGGGCTTTGGGATGGTCAGGAGGAAGGGGCTGAGCTCTGCAAGAACTCGGTGGTGCCAGGAGCCCTGACCAAGCAGCCAGCATGGACCAAGCCCTAAGGAGCAGGACAGTGTGAGAAGGGCAGAAGAGCTCTGTGCTATGGGCAGTTGTCTCAGGGATGCTTGACATGGGACAGGTCAGAGCCTGCAAATGATCCTCTGCCATCCACACCTGCTGTGATGCGGCCCAGGAGCAGATCAGGAGGCTGACAAAAATCCAGGGCTCCTCAAAAAACCCACCCCTTTTCTGGGCAGTGCACACCAATATACCTGCATGAGGCTGGCAAGTTCCAGGGAGTTCCCCTTCAGAGAAGGTTCAGGGCTGCACCCAGCCCTCGAAAAGCTGGGGCCACTCACCAAGTGGGACATTCCTTCAGCCCCATCACTGCATTGCAGTGAGACTGTGCCAGGTGCCACAGGGACCCTGTGCCCAGAGCCATGGCAGGGTCAGCACCCAGAGCTGGGCTCTGTGTGTGATGTGCCCCAGGCACGGCACAGCTACCAGGTGTGCTGGGTGCTGCAGGGACAGGAGGTGCCAGAGTCCCCGTCCCCAGGGCACAGCAGGCAGTGGCACAGGCCAGCCCTGCACTGGCACAGCGACTGCAGCCTGGTGCTTGCCATGCCCAGCCCTGCAGCCCTCCCGTTCCCACAGCCCTGCAGAGCCACTACCCCAGCCCGCAAGCACCCAGGGGATGGACAAGGCAGCAGGGACCCGCTCTCAGGAAGGAGCTAGCCCTGTCCATCCCTGCTCCCGGCGGCAGAGCACATCGTGGGAGGCCCCGCTGCCTCCCCTGGCGGGAAGCGGCCCCCAGTTCCCGCCGGGCAGACGGCAAACAGAGCATGGAATTTGCACGGCTGAAAGTTAAATACAACACACACACGGATTTCGTCAGAGGCCCTGGCACCGCTGCCTTTGCGGGATCCGATTAACAGGGAAATAAAAGGGCCAGAGAACCCACACAGCAGAGTGAGCAGATGCCCTATAAAAATCAAATACAGGGTAATCAAGGGGACCGAAAGGTACATTTAAAAAACAAAAACCCACCCTGGAAACAAAGGAGCTGGGCTTTGTGGCTTTCCTGGGAGGGCTGCAGAATTAATGGGGAAGAGCACATGTGTTTGATAATCTTTATATGGCAAAAGACCCATCTTTCAAATATGTCACAAATTCATATTAATCACCTTCCTATTGCCTTCCGTGGCACAGCTATTCCAGTTGCCTCGGGCAAAATTGGGAACTGTCTGGTTAAAAAAAATGTTTTACATTATAATTTACAAGAGCTTACAAGTCTAGTTTCTTTTAATGGAAAGAACGATTAAAAAAAAGAGAAGAATATATATACACCCTGGTATATATACACTATATATATTAAAATATATATATATAAAAGACAGATATTGTAACTCCATCTGGAAAGAGAGAATGTTTGATCTTAACAATGTAACTTCTAGCTTTCAAACAGGCTCAGAAAACAAGAAGTCAGCAGGAGTTCAGATAAAGGAAGCTTAAAAGTCAAATAATTCTGACTCTGAACCCGAGACTTCTTAGACTCAAGGTCCTTTCCTTTACCCATTAATGGGCTGACTTGTGAGCTCAGGAACAAAGTGCTGCAATGTGAGGATTTCTGAGAGTCACTCATTACAGATCACTGAGTGGAGTCTGAGTTGTGGAAATCAAAGGATCCAATCTGGAGTAACTGGCTGAACTTCTGCTTGGAACTAATTTGTTCCGAGTTCGGCTCACCTTTCACCTCCTGAAGGCCCCGAGTAAAGTCCCTACCGGGGTCAGCCTCAAACAGCACTGGGGGGATCCCAGCTCAGCTTTAATGGTCAGCCATGGGCACTGCAGTCCCTGGGAGAGGGTGGACAGGTAGCCAGGGTAGGAGAAAAGTGGTGGACACAGCAGGGCAGGACAGCACCAGGCTTCCCACTGCCCCATGGGCTCTGAGACAGATGCCTCTCCCAGCTTGGCTGACACACCCTGCTGACATGTCCCCATTCCCTCTGCTGGCCAAGCAGGGTGCTGGCAGACAGCTGCTGACAAAAACAGTATCTCGAAAGATCCCGGTGTGCCTTTGCCCATTCATTCCAATTCCTGGAAAGGAATCCAGGCATGCCAGGCAGCGCTCAGAAGTCAGGACTCCGAGTCCTATTCCTGGCTTTGCCACTCATTCCCTCCAACATCTGGAGCAAAATACTTCTCTCCAGGGAAACAAATCTGGCTTCAGGGGAGCAGCTGGTTTGGAGGCTGAACTAATCCATGCTTAATCCAACATGTAGAGTGCTATGGACAGGCAGTGCTAGACAGCACAAAGGGATTCTCCAACTCAGAGGAATTTGAAGGAGGGAGATTAAATGATTCCCCCAAAGGCCCTGGCAGCTCAGTGGCAAAGCTTGGGAGTTCAAGGCTGGCACGGCAGGGTTAAACCACTACAGCAGGACAAAGGCAGGTGTCATGGCCAAGCACCCACTGCTGCAGGAGGCGAGGGTACGAATGGCCATCAAAATACACTGCTGTGCTCCAGAGCTGCCTGCTCCCACCACCAGCCACACTGCTGCCCTGCTGCCAGCACTGTGGGGCGGGGACAAAGCACTGTGCCCTCCACAGGCTGCTTCCTCAACACCCTGTCCTGGCCTTGCTGTCCCCACCACGGCCTGGGACACCTCAGGGTCATCGCTGTGCAGGTGGAGACTCATGCATGCACCCATCAGCCATTCCCCTTCTCAGTGCTGAACAAGCCAAACGATCTTCCAGAGGCAAATTTCAGCCATGATGTTGGATAAGAAGCACTGGAGCTGCATCTGCCAGCTCTGGGCAGGGCAGGGAGGATCACCAGGACATGACCTCTACTCAGCTCAGCCTATCTTTGGAAAAGCTGGGCATGGGCTGCAGGGAGTTGTTC